CCCGCCCTCTCGGCGGCATGTCCTGTCTCCTCGGCGGTGGAGAGGTCCCTCACATGGCAGTCATCGGCTGCAGCAAGAAAGGGGGGATGCAGGGGAAGCAGGTGCAGGTGGGGGGGGGGAGGGGAGGGGGCGGGGCGAGGCGAGTCTTCAGCGACGCGCCATAAGTGGCGCGGCGCTTACTGGCAGGAGGGCGGGCAGGTGGCGGTTACGACGGCGTGCTGCCCGCTGCCGCCCATCCACGCTGCCGCGGCAGCATGACGACGCCGCCAGGGCGCGGCGTCGACGCTGTGGCGGCACGCCGACGCTGCAACGGCAGCAAGGTGACGCTGCCACGGCAAAGCGTCGACGCAACCGGCTGCGGCCCGACGGCGCCGTCGACGCTGCAGCAGGACGTCGACGTCGCGACGGCAGAGGCAGCGTCGATGCCGCAGCGGGACGTCGACGCTGCGACTGCAGAACGACGGCCCGACGCCACGGCAGCGCGTCGAGCCGGTCGCGGCACGACGCGGCCAGTGGCAGCGCGACGTCGCCACTGTAGCAAAACGCGGCCGCCATGGCCGCTCGAGCTAATGAGAGTGAGGAGTAAATTGCGGAAGCGTGAGGAGGCGATCCAACAGGGAGGATCTCCTGCTCTGATACCATCTTAGAAACTTAGGACTCAAGGTTCTTAAACTTAGAAGGCTAAGTTGGCTAGGATACTAGGAAGAAGGCCGCCATGGAATAGCGTGAGGAAAAAACGGATCTAGGAAGGGAGAGAATGTCGAGAAGAAAGGTAGTTGGATTAGGAAGAGAGGGGAGTACAAGGAGGGGTTTGTACCCCCTACAGAAAGGTTCAGTAACAACCTACCAAGCCTATATTAAATTATAACTTATATATTTTTAACACTAACCCCCTGTCCCAACGGTTTCAGTTCCCCCCGACAATTTCGTTTCCCCCTTCACCGACAATTCCGATTCCCCCTTCACCGACAATTTCGAATCCCCCTTCCCCTGAAAATTTCGAATCCCCCTTCTGTTAAAATTATATAAGTTATAATTTATATAGGCTTGGTAGGTTGTTACTGAACCTTTTTGTAGAGGGTACAAACCAGGGCTGACTTTATCAGACTATTTACTCTGATTAGTCTGAAATCTCAGACCTGTTTTTTGGCCAAACCTGAATTTCCAGATAAGGCATTTTCCCAATCCTGATCCCTTCAGAGTACGATTCTAGGGATTCTGAGAAAATCAGAGTTGTCGCTAACCCAGTACTGGGTTTTCAGAGCACAGCGCGTACAGACCCTGACTCATTACCTGTATAGAACCAACCTTCGGAAAATTTGGTGAAATCCCCAATTGCTAGAGACATGCCCCACACACCCCACAACCCCAAAAAAAAATTGGCCAAGTCCCCGAACCCTAGAGACAACCCCCACCCCACACCCCACAACCCATCTAAAATTTCGGCGAAGTCCCGGAACACTAGAGACATCCCCCACACACCCTACAACCCACCCTAAATTTCGACTAAGTCATGTTGTCAGATACAGTCCTCCCTAACACCTGGAACAACCCAGAAGTTTTGAATGAGACTTTCACATTTTTTTTTTAACTGCATTGGAATGAGAGTAAATTCCGCATTTTTAACATAGGGAAATTCTCGCCAGTTGCCCGTTTGGTCAACTGAAAGTCTACCAAAATGTAACGGTCACGATCGTTTGCGATCGTTTCGACATATATCAATCGTTCGATGTTATGTTGTGATTAACGTCCAAGATTTCCCCACTGGGGCGCTGCAAGGGCGCGAAATTTCTCCCACCGTCCTATTCCCCAGCTTCCTCTTAGAAACTTAGGACTAAAGGTTCTTAAACTTAGGAGGCTAGGTTGACTAGGATACTAGGAAGAAGACCGCCATGGAATGGCGTGAGGAAAAACGGATCTAGGAGGTGAGAGGATGTCGAGAAGAAAGGGGGTTGGATTAGGAAGAGAGGGGAGTACAAGGAGGGGTTTGTACCCCCTACAGAAAGGTTCAGTAACAACCTACCAAGCCTATATTAAATTATAACTTATATAATTTTAACACACCCCCTAGGCTTGGTAGTGTCAAGCCCACGCACACCCCCACACCCACACCCACACCCACACCCCCTAGCCCAGCACCCCCATTCCCAGCAGCAGTCGAAACGACTCCGAAAGAGGGTAGGTCTCACGACCCCTTGAGACGGCAATGGCGACAGCAGCGACAGTGACGACGGCGGCGGCGGCGGCGGTGTGCGGCGGCTCCAGGCCTGCGGCAACAGCGGCGGCGCCGGCGGCTCGAACGACAGAGGCTGGTGCGGCGGCCCCCGCCCTCTCGGCGGCATGTCCTGTCTCCTCGGCGGTGGAGAGGTCCCTCACATGGCAGTCATCGGCTGCAGCAAGAAAGGGGGGGATGCAGGGGAAGCAGGTGCAGGTGGGGGGGGGGAGGGGAGGGGGCGGGGCGAGGCGAGTCTTCAGCGACGCGCCATAAATGGCGCGGCGCTTACTGGCGGGAGGACGTCGTCCTGAGGGAAGCCCGTCTGTGGCGAGCGGGCGGCAGGCCCGGCGACGCCACAGACGTCGCTCGGCCGGCCGCAGCCCGACGATGCCGTCGGCTGCCGCAGACGCCGCCACAGCGCACCGTCAATGTCGCAGCGGCGAGGCGGACGGGCGACGGCTGCACCAAGGGGCCGTCACGCCACCTTGGCGCCGCGACGGTAGGCAACGAAGGACCGTCGCGACATCTTGGTGCCGCGACGGCAGGCAACAAGGGGCCGTCGCGACATCCTGGCGCCGCGACGGCAGGCAACAAGGGGCCGTCGCGACAGCTTGGTGCCGCGACGGCAGGCAACAAGGAGCCGGTCGCGGCACGACGCGGCCAGTGGCAGCGGGACGTCGCCACTGCAGCAAAACGCGGCCGCCATGGCCGCTCGAGCGAATGAGGGTGAGGAGTAAATGGCGGAAGCGTGAGGAGGCGGTCCAGCAGGGAGGATCTCTTGCTCTGATACCATCTTAGAAACTTAGGACTAAAGGTTCTTAAACTTAGGAGGCTAGGTTGACTAGGATACTAGGAAGAAGACCGCCATGGAATGGCGTGAGGAAAAACGGATCTAGGAGGTGAGAGGATGTCGAGAAGAAAGGGGGTTGGATTAGGAAGAGAGGGGAGTACAAGGAGGGGTTTGTACCCCCTACAGAAAGGTTCAGTAACAACCTACCAAGCCTATATTAAATTATAACTTATATAATTTTAACACTTCCCCCCTCCCTGCCGTTTCGATTCCCCCCCCTCCCCTCTGTTTCAATCACTTCCCCCTTCCTCTCCGTTTCGCTTCCCCCATCCTCTCCGTTTCGACCGCCCCCCCCCTTTCCCCCCCTCCCCTTCGTTTCGCTTCCCCGCTCCCCTCCATTTTGATTCCCTCCCCATTTCCCCGTCAGTTTCGATTCCCCCTCTCCTCAGTTTCGTTTTCCGTGGCAGTGCGATTTTACCCCCTCGGTTTTTAGGAATGACTTCCTCGTTTCCCACATTTAACAACTACGCAAAACGAGGGTACAAGGTTGCTGGTTGGGGGGGGGCGCGGGCTGTGGGAGGATTTTTTATGGCTGCAAGGGACTTAGCCGAATTTTTGGGAGGTGTAGGAGGGAGGGAAGTTTCTCGCTGTGGGGGTGTTTCCCGTGTGTGACTCTGGTTGTACGTCCTGGACCCTGAAAAAATCAGACTCGCTGAGTTCTGGACCCTGACATTTCAGACTACAAAAATTTCGGCTGAAGGCCCTTCAGACTTTTTTTTTTTTGGGGGGGGTTGGCTCAGAGTGCCTTTTTTTGAAACGCCAGCCCTGGTACAAACCCCTCCTTGTACTCCTCTCTCTTCCTAGTCAATCTCTCTTTTCTCTCGACAATCTCGCCTACTCTCCTAGCTAAACCCCGCCGCCACATTTATGGCGGCCTTTTTCCTGCCTACTGCTTAGTTTCCTAGTTTAACATGGTTTCAGAGCAGGCCGTCCGTCCCGGCCCTGCTCACTACGTTTCCGCTGCGCATTCCTGCTGCGTTTGCCGCCTTCGCGGCTTTCTGCCTGCCTGCCGTCGTGGCACCAAGATGTCGCGGCGGCCCCTTGATGCTGCCGTCCCGGGCTCGACGAGCAGCTGCGGCTCCGACGCCACGCTGCTGTGGCGTCATTCTGGTGCCGCGGCGGTGTCGTCGAGCTGCAGCCGCCGAGTTTCACCCCCGCAGCTGCTGGACGTGCAGCGCGTCTGCCCGCCAGTAAGCGCCGCGCCTATGGCGCCGCGCTGAAGTCCTGCAGCCCCACCACAGCAGCCCCACCACCTCTCCCTCCCCTGCCTCTCCTCCTGCTCCTGCGGTAGCTGCTGTCTTCGGCTCGGTCGTCGCCAGCCCGTGCCACACCGCCGAGAGCCCTCAGCCGCCGCCTGTCCTCATCGACACAGCCGCCTTGAGCACGAGCTCCGCCGCTGTAGTCATTGAGGCCGCCCAGATGCGGCCAGCTGCCTCTCATCCGGGGGTGTCATCGCCTAGCACGAGGGGTCGATACCCGGCTGCTCACGAGAATGAGGGTGTCCGGGGTTAGGGGGTGTGTGTGTGGGTTGGGTGGGCGTGTGACTACCAAGCCTAGGGAGTGTGTTAAAATTATATAAGTTATAATTTATATAGGCTTGGTAGGTTGTTACTGAACCTTCCTGTAGAGGGTACAAACCCCTCCTTGTACTCCTCTCTCTTCCTAGTCAATCTCTCTTTTCTCTCGACACTCTCGCCTACTCTCCTAGCTAAACCCCGCCGCCACATTTATGCGGCCTTTTTCCTGCCTACTGCTTAGTTTCCTACTTTAACACCTTCCCCCCACATTTTCGATTCCCCCTTCCCCCTGCATTTTCGATTCCCCCTTCCCCCACAATTCGATTCCTCCTCCCCCTCAATTCGATTCCCAACAATTCAATTCTGCCCGGTTTTCCGGTGCTAATGGTTGTGAGCGGACCTTGTAAGACAAGAACAAATTCAGTTTTAAAACGAATAAAACGAGGGTGGTGTTATGTAAATTTCAATGCCAGAAAAACGGGTGCTCTAAAAAAATGCACCGTATCATAAGCTCCCCCCCGTATTAACCACCCACGGAGTGACTATTTCGGCGGGTGTTATATACAGGAAATTACGGTAGCAATATTCTGTTCCTGGGGATACCCTAGCTATGGCAATCAGGCTCAGCCCACAAAACTTGGAAGGGGCCGGACTGGAGTGATGGCAGAAGGGGTGCTCTCTGCCGCACACACTTTTCATACCACTTGTACGATTACCTAAAGCGCGGTATGATCGTATGATATCCCTCGCAGCTCTTTCACCAAACACCACCACACACGCCGCTGGTGCCGGTGGTGAGCCAGCCTGCGCCCACTGGACCGGAAGCTCCACTTGGGGTAGTCGTCCGTCCGTGCAGTGAGCTTGGCCGACCAGGAGTGCTTTTGAGGCGCCTCTACAAACGTCTCACACAACCCCTTCACCTCACCAGACACCACTCGTGCCGTTCTTGAGCCAGCCCCGCCCCACGCTGGACCGGAAGCTCCAGTTGGGGTAGTCGTCCGTGCGGTTGAGCTTCAGCGACCAGAAATACCACCCGCCCCGCGCTGCCCCAAACACCTCCCGCTGCGTCTCCGCAAACCTCCGCACATCGTCCTGGTGATAGTTAAAAGGAGGGGGAGAAGGGGGAAAGGCGGAAAAGGGGGGAACGGGAGGAAGGGGGAGAGGGGAAGAGGGGGAGAAGGCGAAAGGAAGGGGGTAAGCGAGTAAGGGGAGAAGCACAGGGTGTATGGATGGGAGGAGGGATGAGTCCTTGGGTGTGGGAAACAGGTGTGGGAAACAGGATGGTGGAGCGTGGAAGTCTGCTGTGGTTGTAATTTGCACACATGACATGATGACATGCGTGCGTGAGAAACGAGGTGGCGCATCTACCATCTCACAACGCGCATCCGCGCCTTATCCTTCCGGTATCTCTCATACTCGTGGTGCGAACTTCAGGTCGTATCAGTGGGAAGGGTGAGGGGGGAAGGGAAGGAGAGGGAAAGGAAAAGGAGAAGGGGAGAGAAGCTGCGAGGCTTACGTCGGGGTTGTTGTCGGTTGGTAGGGCGAGGGACCACTCCCCCACCATAGCCAGCCGATTGCCCTCCTGGTACTGCTTGATCTCTGCTGACCGCTGTAGAAGAAACGGGGGGAGGGCGTGAGCGGTGGAGGTGAGAGGTGGGGGTGAGAGGTGGGGGAGAGAGAGGGGAGAGGGCGCCATTGAAGGTGAGGAAGGAGGAGAGAGGAGGGGAACGAGAAAGGGAAGATGTGTGAGTGAGAGTGCGTATGGAGCAGGCTGAGACGAGTTGCACGGGGAGAGGAGCTGGCAGGGAAAAGACGGAGTATAAACGGTCTCCTGGAAGTAAGAGCAGAACAGGACGTGATCCGTTTTGGCAGTGGCAGTGGCAGTGGCAGTGGCAGTGGCAGTGGCAGTGGCAGTGGCAGTGGCAGTGGCAGTGGCAGTGGCAGTGGCAGTGGCAGTGGGCAGTGGCAGTGGCAGTGGCAGTGGCAGTGGCAGTGGCAGTGGGCAGTGGCAGTGGGGCAGTGGCAGTGGCAGTGGCAGTGGCAGTGGCAGTGGGCAGTGGCAGTGGCAGTGGCAGTGGCAGTGGCAGTGGCAGTGGCAGTGGGCAGTGGCAGTGGCAGTGGCAGTGGCAGTGGCAGTGGCAGTGGCAGTGGCAGTGGCAGTGGCAGTGGGCAGTGGCAGTGGCAGTGGCAGTGCAGTGGCAGTGGCAGTGGCAGTGGCAGTGGGGCAGTGGCAGTGGCAGTGGCAGGCAGTGGCAGTGGCAGTGGCAGTGGCAGTGGCAGTGGCAGTGGCAGTGGCAGTGGCAGTGGCAGTGGCAGTGGCAGTGGCAGTGGCAGTGGCAGTGGGGCAGTGGCAGTGGCAGTGGCAGTGGCAGTGGCAGTGGCAGTGGCAGTGGCAGTGGCAGTGGCAGTGGCAGTGGCAGTGGCAGTGGCAGTGGCAGTGGCAGTGGCAGTGGCAGTGGCAGTGGCAGTGGCAGTGGCAGTGGCAGTGGGGCAGTGGCAGTGGCAGTGGCAGTGGCAGTGGCAGTGGCAGTGGCAGTGGCAGTGGCAGTGGCAGTGGCAGTGGCAGTGGCAGTGGCAGTGGCAGTGGCAGTGGCAGTGGCAGTGGCAGTGGCAGTGGCAGTGGCAGTGGCAGTGGCAGTGGCAGTGGGGCAGTGGCAGTGGCAGTGGCAGTGGCAGTGGCAGTGGCAGTGGCAGTGGCAGTGGCAGTGGCAGTGGCAGTGGCAGTGGCAGTGGCAGTGGCAGTGGCAGTGGCAGTGGCAGTGGCAGTGGCAGTGGCAGTGGCAGTGGCAGTGGCAGTGGCAGTGGCAGTGGCAGTGGCAGTGGCAGTGGCAGTGGCAGTGGCAGTGGCAGTGGCAGTGGCAGTGGCAGTGGCAGTGGCAGTGGCAGTGGCAGTGGCAGTGGCAGTGGCAGTGGCAGTGGCAGTGGCAGTGGGCAGTGGCAGTGGCAGTGGCAGTGGCAGGCAGTGGCAGTGGCAGTGGCAGTGGCAGTGGCAGTGGCAGTGGCAGTGGCAGTGGCAGTGGCAGCAGCAGCAGCAGCAGCAGCAGCAGCAACAGCAGGGACAGCAGCAGCAGCTATAGTGGTGGTGTCTCACGTTGAGCTTGAGGAACTGCAGGTTCTGCTCCAGGGACATCTGCCTGAGCTTGTCCGCATGCACGCTGTACACGTGCAGGTCCACCAGCACGTTTGTGTGGGCATCGCCTGTCATTAGGCCCTTGAGGAAAGGGCTGGGAAGACAGAGGGAAGGGAAAGAAGAAGAGAGAGAGGAGTGTGTCGGCATGCATGCTGTACACATGCAGGTCCAGCAAAACGTTCGTGTGCGCGTCACCTGTCATTAGGCCCTTGAGGAAAGGGCTGGGAAGACAGAGGGAAGGGAAAGAAGGAGAGGGCGAGGAGAAAGGAGTGTGTCCGCATGTGCGCTGTACACATGCAGGTCCACCAGCACGTTGGTGTGGGCATCGCTCGTCATTAGGCCCTGGAGGAAAGGGCTTGCAAGGGGAACGGGACAGGGGACAGGGGGGGGGGGACAGGCGGGAACAGGCAAGGACAGGCGGGCACGGGTAGGGACCGGCGGGGACAGGCGGGGACAGGTGGGCACGGGTAGGGACCTGCGGGGACAGGCGGGGACAGGTGGGCACGGGTAGGGATGAGGAAGGATGGGAGGCACGGGATGAGGTGAGACTGTGTCCGTGTGCACGCTGCACACATGCAGGTCCACCAGCACGGGCGTGCGCACGTCAACCGTCACTAGTCCCTGGAGGAAAGGGCAGGGAGAATGGAAGGACAGAGAGGGGGGGGAGAGATAAGGGGAAGGTAGAGGTGGAAGGGGGGTTGTGGTGCTGACGTGTGGAGTGGAGATATTGAGGTGCCTCACCTGGCAACATGTGATGTGACACCCGTTTTGAGGCGGCTCAATCAAACACGGCTCACAGCTCAGAAGAACAAGACATGCCATGTATGTACCACCATGCACCTGTCTGTCTGTCTGTCGGTGTCTGCATACGTGGAGGTGCCCTCGTAGGCCTGGGCAGCCCGCACGGCAGTAAAAGGAGGCGAGGGGGGTGAGGGAGGTGAGGGAAGTGAGGGAAGAGAGGGAGGTGAGGGAAGTGAGGGAAGTGAGGGTAAGTGAGAGAAGGGGAAAGGAGCACCTGAGCCCTTGCCTCTCTTAGCTAGCTACACAAGCCCTTGCCTCTCTCTCCTCCTTGTTTAGTTTTCCGTTCATTCTTTGCTTCTGCTTTGGTGTCGGCTCGCGCCGGCCGCGATCCGCGGCCCTCGCTTGCGGCGCGGCCTTCGGCCGCGCGTTAGGGGGCGACAAGGCATGGGTCAGGGGGAGAAGACGCAATCAACACATCGCAACACTCAACTATTGCATCAATGACAAGCATCATGAGGGCGCACATGGGGAGGTGCTGGCAAGCCCAATGAGCCGCGTCCTACCTCCTCATCTATCGGGCGTGCTGACGCCTTCCGCCCACGGCTACACACGATGCCGCCAGCCGGCTATGCCTGCAGGCGTATCTCCCCCAGCAGGAGGAAGACGATCCTCTCCGCCTCGCGGAGTACTGACACGCAGCCGTTGACGACTTCTGCAGCTCGCATCCCCCGCAGCTTCGCCTCCACATCCATCACCACAGCATCCCCCCGCAGGGGCAGCACATTTTCCCGGGCCGAGCCCGAGCCACAATACGGCCATTGCCGCTTGCACTACCACAGCCTGCGCCTCGCAGTCCCACTGCTGGGACTCCGTCATCAGCCCCTCCTGTCGGGGACGCTGGAGCGAGTACCCAGCCACCTCCAGGATCGTCGTCAGACGATCAACGCAGCTCCGCGCCGCGCCCAGACGGCGCAACACATCCACCAGCCGCGCCGCCGCCGCCTGCCGACGAGCGTTCGCCAGGAGGCTCGTCATGGGCCATCCCTGGGTTCGCTGTCGCTTGCGGGACCGCCCGCTTGCCGACACCTCCGAGTCCTCATCCTCCCAGCCGCCCTGCCCCGCCCCCGCCCCCGGCGCCTCTGCCGGCTTTCCCTGCGCCTGTGCCGGCATCGCCCACGCGGACGCCAGCTGCGAGGGGGGTGCGGGAACCGCCGCCGTTACAGGCGCTGTTGGCGGAGGAGGCGGTGGGGGTAGCGGCGACGCTGGAGCCTGCATCACCACTGTCGCCGCAGGCAGCGGGGCCGTCTGCATCACCAGGGGCGCGCCGCCAGGACCGAGTACCCATGGCGGCTCCACGCGGTAGAGACTCCCCGGCGCCACCAGCCCCTGCCGTGGCCACAGGGGCAGTAGCCCGCCTATCGCCGCCCCGTTCGTCCCCGCGGCTGGGGTCATTGCTGTTGGGGCTGCCGGCGGTGGCGCTGTCCTCTCCGCGATCCCCCGAATCACGGAGGGGACGCGCGGGAGAACGCGCTCAACCATCTCCTCCACTTCAGAGGACCGCGCGGTCGACCCCTGCCTCTGCGGGCACCGCTGCTGGGACCGCGGGCGAAGCCACCCCCGACGGCGCTGCTGCTGGGGCTGCTTCTCGCGTCGAGGTGGACTCCGTCATTCGGGAGTCCTCGAGTCCCGCTGACGCGGGAGGACGGCGGCCAGCGGTCCGGCGTCTGGCGCGGACCATACGCCCGCTCCGGCGAGCGCCCGCTCCCCCGGTAGTGCGAGGACGGCATCGTCGGCTGGAGCCGGTTGGTGGAGCCCGCAGATGCAGGTCCAGTTTCGCGCGGGGGGGTGGACGCTCCCTGGCACTCATGGCAGCGGACGACGCAGACGCGGAGGGCGCGTGGGGAATGTCGGTGTGGCAGGGTCCTACGTGCAGGCTGTTCGTCGGCGGCTGGCTAGCTTGGAAGCAGCGAGTGGGGCAGAGCCAAGGGAGGCGACTACTGCTGGAGTTGCTGGAGAGGATGTGGAGGGTGACCCCAGTTATACCCTCTCAAGTGATGGGGTTTCCGATTCCGAGACTGGGGAGGACGCTGGGGAGGAGAGTGGGGGTGTTCCCAGATCCCGTTCCAACGCTCGCTGAGCCGCTCCGAACCAGCGCCCAACCAGTGGCGAAAATTTCCCCGCCGCTGACGAGGATTTCCTTTCGCCAGTTGCGCTCGCAGCTCGAGACAATTTGTTCGCTGACATTTCGGAGTGGGACCTGTCCATCCTACGCGACAGTCGCCAGCCACCCCTGGCTCGCCACGCACCTCGCCAAATCCGTGACGAGTTTGCAGCCTGTCTGCTCACCCCCCTCCTCCGATTGGCTGACGATCGAGAATCTCCGCCAGCGTGGAAGCTTCTGTTCTTCCTGCCACGCCTGACCCTCCGCATTGGCACTACCCGCAAACCCGATTGGGAAGCCGTCCAGAAGTGCCTGGAGGCCTTCCGTCGTGGTTCCTGGCCAGACCTATACGCCGAAGTTGTGGCTGCTGTCGATCTCCTCCATCCCCCGCGCCATGCCCCTGACAATACAGGCCTGATCGCTCGGGGAGAAGGCCTGGCCAAGCGTGGGAACCTTGGTAAGGCTCTCCAGGCCCTTGAAGTGACACCTGTGAGCCCTTCCTCGGCGAAGACTCTCACCGCTCTCCACTCACGCCACCCACTCGCCTCTCTCGTCCTCCCTGACTGGGTCCTCTCACACACCTTGGAGCGGAACCCCTCTATCAGCCCCAAGCATTTTCGCCACCTCTTGTCTCAGCTCCCTAATGGTGTAGGAGCTGGTCCCTCGGGGACTACATTCGAGCTCCTGCGTGACGCGGCTCTCACCAATACCGACATCTGCCAGCATCTCCACGCGCTCACTAACATGGCCCTCGCCATCAAGCTTGGTCCGGAAGCTACTTCCCTTCACACAGCGTTGTGGCTGCTCGCTTTTTCCAAGCCTGGTGGTGGCACCCGCCCGATCGCTGTTGGCGAATGCCTGCACCACATCGTCTCCAAGGCTGCCTTGTTCCTCGCTACAGCCCCCGCCCGCCTCCACTTCGACCCAATTCAGTTTGGCGTCGCCTTCCCCCGGGGCGCGGAGGTTATCATCCACGTCACTCGCGTCTACCTCGACACGCACACCAGTCACATCGCGCTGCAAATTGACGTCGCCAATGCGTTCAACGCCATCAAACGCGCGACGGTCTTCGTGGGCCTTCGTGGGCCTTCGTGGGGCGGAACTCGAGTTCCTAATCTCCTTCGTCCGTCTCTCCTATGGCGGGCCCTCCACCCTCTTCAGCAACCATGGCTTCGAGGCGGAGCCTCTGACAAGCGCGCTCGGCGTGCGGCAGGGCGACCCCATGGGCCCCCTCCTCTTCGCCACCGGCCTCCACCCCAGCCTCGCCGCCACAGCAGCCGCCTTCCCCGACGTCGTCGTTCTCGCTTACGCCGACGACGTCACGCTGCTGGGTCCGCCGGCAGCCTGCACTGGCGCCTTCGACCACCTCACCGCCGCCATTGCTGGGTGCGGGCTCAATCATAACCCCGCGAAGGGCGCCGCGTGGGGTCCAGCGATTACCTTCGCCACGGAGCTTCTCGCCGGCATCACCCTGAGCACCGCGGGGCTCAAGGTTCCAGGGAGCCCCGTGGGCCCGCCTGCCGCCTGCTCTGCCGCCCTCCGCGCCCGCCTCTTGTCTGCCGCCGCTCCGCTGCCGCTGCTCACGGACATGGACCCCCAGCTGTCCCTGCAGCTTCTCACCCGCTGCGTCTCCCGCCGTGTGGCCTACATGCTGCACTCCAAGCCGCTCGAGCTGCTTCCCCTGGACGAGTGGGATGCTTGGGGGGAGGGCCTCTTTCACACGTCCCTGTCGGCAAGTCGCCTGCCCCTGCTGCTGGGGCAGCCTACCTTCATACCGCTGGCTCCACGCCCTTTCTCCGCCGCCTCGCCATCCTCGAGAACTCCCTTTCGCCCTCTGCGGCAGAGCTCCAGCGCCGGGAGCGCAACTCGCCGGACCCGCCCAAGCTTCAGCGGGCGCTGGCGCTGCAGGTGAAGGCGGAGCGCTTCACGCTCCAGCTGGACCAGGCTCGCCGCATGCCGCTCAACCCGCTCCAGGGGCACACGCAGCGCCTGCTCTCGCTCATGGGCCCTGGGGCAGGCGACTGGCTGCACGCCATCCCCTTCTCATCCTCCCTCCGCCTCGACCCAGGACACTTCTCCACCGCTGTGGCATTCCACCTGGGGCTCCCTCACTCCACCCCGGGCGTCTGTGACTGCGCCGACCGTACCGACATCGACGATCCCCGCCTTCCCAACCACCTCCTGAGGTGCGCTAACGAGCCGGGTCGGACGGGTGCGCACCACGCCCTGCGGGATGAATGCGCTCGGATAGCCGAGGCGGGGTTCATTACGCGGAAGCAGACCAATCTCTTCGCACGGGTCTCCAATCTTTGGGCGGACGTCGCCATCCGCCACCCGGACTCGGGGGCGGTGTGGCTGTGTGACGTCACTCTGACTGATCCCATCTCCCAAGATGATCCATTGGCTCGCAAGGGGACTGGCTGGGCGGCTCGAGTGGCAGCCCGGGGCAAGGAGAACAAATACCGCCCCCCGGCCCGTGCGGAATGAGTTGACTTTTTCGCGATGGCAGCAGAGACGTACGGCTGCTCTTCTCCCGGCGTCTTCGGCTTTCTCAAGCAGTGCGCCGAGCTGGTGACACGCAAGCATCACCAGGCAGCTCCCACCTCCCGGGAGGCCGCAAAGCTGTTTCACAAGTACTGCCAGCGATGGTCGGTTACTCTGCAGCGGGGCCAGGCCGTGACCCTCAACACGAAGATCAACGAGGCCCTCGCCGCTGAGGAGCAGCCCTGGGGTGAGCCGGCGGCTCCGCCCAGTCGTCAGTGGGCATGCACCCCTCTGACCCCTCACACAACCTATGCAGCATAAGAGGTACCGCTGCCCACCTGTCTGTGTCGGCATAGGTGGAGATGCCCACGTATGCGCAGGGCGAGGTGGCGCGCACGGTGGAGTACGCACGGAGGTAGAAGGAGGTGAGGGTGGCCGCGTCCACCCAGCTGCTCGTGGGCTCATTCAGCACCCCCATGCCCAGGAACGACGGGCGGGCAGAGTAGCTGTGGGGGCAGGGGAGAGGGGGGAATGGGCTTTGTGGGGAATGTAGCTGGTGGGAGGGAGTCATGTTACTTGTGGGTGAGGGTGGACGCATCCATCCAGTTGCTCGTGGGCTCGTTCAGCACTCCCACGCCCAGGAACGGCGGGCGGGCCGGCGGAGTAGCTGTGGGGGCAGGGGAGAAAGGGCTCGTTCATTGGTCATTGGCGAGTACCTGCACGCACCGCTTGGCGAGTAGCACGCAGGCAGCACGCACGCACCGCGTGGCGAGCAGCTGGATGGTGTTGCGCGTGGCGGTGACATGGGAAGGCGATCTTGGACCGACCCAACTCCCCATCCGCATCTTCGTGCTTTGGAGGCCCCAACTCCCTCCCCTCCTCCTCCCCTCACCCACTCTTCCCCACTGTCCCCCCCACAGGCAGCACGCACGCACCGCTTGGCAAGCACCTGGATGGTGTTCAGCGTGGCCTTTGATGTTCCCGTCCTCGTGCTATAAATATCCCTAGCCCCCCCTCTTCCCCCCTTCCCCCCCACGTCCTCCCCACCCACCCACCCACCCACCCACCCACCCCCGCAGGCAGCACGCACGCACGCACCGCTTGGCGAGCAGCTGGATGGTGTTGAGCGTGGCGGTGACGTGGAAGGCGGAGTCGGGGCGCCCAAACTCCCCGAACCCGTCCTGGCTGCCGCTGTGATCCAGCCCGTTCTGCGACCCGTGTGCTCCGTGCAGCGAGAAGAGCACCCGCACGCCGTGCTTCTCTGTGCGGGGGAGTTTGGGGGAAGGGGGGGAGAGGGGGTGCGGAAAGGGGGGAAAAGAGTGGCTGGGGTCGCGTGGCTGGGATTGCATGGGGGTGGGGTCCCATCGCATGGGGAAGTCACATCCTGCCTGCCGCTGTGCTCCGGGCCGTTCTGCGACCCGTGTGCTCCGTTCAGGGAGAAGAGCACCCTCACGCCGTGCTTCTCTGTGGGGGGGTTGATTGTGAGGGGGGAGAAGTGGGGTGGGTGGGTGGGGGTTGTTGGGGGGGGGGGCACGGATTGCAGGACGAGAAGGAGAGGAGGACGGTGCTTCAAGGTGCTTTTGAGAATTCTCAAAAACACCCTTCAAGGTGCCTTGATTATCAAGTTGATACATGGTGTGTGTGTGTGAGCATGGTGAAAAGGCAAGAGCACCATCACTCGCTCGCACGTGCCCGGTCCAACACCTCATCCAGCATCACCGGCTTCCTATGCCCACCACCCACCTCCCCTCCCCCCTCCCCACTAACCCCTCCCCCGTTCCCCCTCTCCCCTCCCCCCTCCCCCCTTCCCCCTCCCCCCTCCTCCCTTCCCCCTCCCCCCTCCCCCCTTCTCCCTTCCCCCTCCCCCCTTCCCCTCCATCTCCCACCTGCCCAATCGAACATCTGATCCAGCATTGCCAGCAACGCCTGCACATCACCCCTCATCCCAACTCAAAACACGCCCACCTGCTGCCTCCCCCCCTCACCTGCCCAGTCGAACATCTGGTCCAGCATCATCAGGCAACCCCCCCTGCACCTCACTCACCCCTCATCTCATCTCAAAATACGCCCACCCGCTGCCTCCCCCTCTCACCTGCCCAGTCGAACATCTGGTCCAGCATCATGAGCCCCCCTCCAACAAACGGCGTGTCACCGCTCCCCCCAACCCCCTCCCCATACACCGTCCAGTACCCCACGGGCACGCGCACTGTGTCCACCCCCTGCCGGGATAAATACGCAAAGTCCTCCTCCGTTACAAACCCACTCCTATGCTCCACCACTCTCGCCTCTGCTTCTGCATCCCCCTGGGTTAGTCGGAGACCCTGGGACAGCTGCCACTCGCCTTTGAGGCGGGATTGCGGGAGGAAGGAGAAGAGGCAGGAGGGGCAGGATGGTGAGGAGGAGGACCAGAGAGGGGAGGCGGGGGAGGAGAGTTGGGAGACGGGGATGGGGGTGTCAGCGACGAGAGAGGCGTTGGAGAGCACACGGAGGAGATACAGTGTGCTGCTGCTGCTGCTGCTGGTTTTGTTGATGGCGATGGCAGCAGTTGTGTTGCTGCCAGGGGCGAAAACAACCAGAAAAGACGACCATCCACCGCTGCTGCTGCTGCTGCTGCTGCTGCTGCCGCTGCCGCCACTGGTGCCGCTGCTGCCCACCCCAATCCCACTCCCTGACTGTTCCCCAGGGCCCGGAGGTCCTGGATATACGGCCTTGGCACCAACCACAGTGCCAGCAGCAGCAGAGGAGGAGGAGGAGGATGAGGAGGAGGAGGGGACAGAGAGGAAGCGGCCGTTGGAGGCACGGATGTAAAGGGAGACGTTGGAGGGCGAGCGCGAGGGGGAGGAGAGGGAGAGAGGAGGGGAGGAGGCGGGGCCGGGTGCGAGGCGCAGGAAGAAGGTCTCGGAGGAGGACGGAGAAGAGGCCGATGCTCTGATCTGCATGGAGGTGGTCGGGGAGGAGGGTATTGGAGAAAGATTGGAGCGGGAGGAGCAGGGACGAACAAGGAATGTTCACTAGTCTTCTCTTCTCTTTCGCCCCCCCGGTGGCCTTTGACAGGCTCGAGTGGTCTTCCTATGAATCAAAAGACCAGAGGGATCCTACGATCTCAAGGTAAGATATTACCAGTGTGTGTGGCATGCTGTCTTCACTTTGACAGGCCCGATCGAAATTCTCCGTTACAGATCCACTCAAGCACACAAGGTCACATAGGGCAACGACACATCTTCTTTCCCTGGATGCTGCTACACCCTTCAAATCACCGTAAAGGACAAAACGCACACTCTGTTGTTCTGTACAATTCCTTTCCTTGCCGTGCTGAAGCGAGTCAACAAGCTCACCTCTCCTGTGGTGCTGTTCCACAGAGTCACGTACTTCCCCGACTGCTTCGCCTGCAGCTGCACCAGCATCCCATCCACCACCTCCGGCACCCCCTCAAACAGCCCCGGGGCCATCCACTCCTCCCCCACCAGCCACCCGCCCAGGTTCACGCCTCTTGCTGCTGCCACCTCCATGCCCTCCCGCAGTCGGAAATAGGAGGGTTGAGAGGGGAGGGAACCCGCGGGGTGGAGCGCGAGGAGGGAGGAGGGCGGGGAGGAGACGGTGAGATAGGAGCCGGATGGAGATGCGAGGCGGATGAGGAGAGAGGAGGGGTCGCCCTGTTAGGTGGGAGGGTGGGGGCGGGGGGGGGGAAGGGTGGGTATGGGGGTGATGGGGGGGGCGGGGGGGAGAGGGAAGAGCAAGAGAGTTGAGGACGGGAAGGGAAGGCATGGCGAGGTTGCACGTGCAGGAGAGGGGCAGGAGGAATGGACAGGGAGGATGAGGGAGGAACAGCAAGCAACAGAGCAGTGGGGGGTGACGGGCGACTGAAGCTGTCAACCGAGAAACCAGGTAGGGTAGCAAGCAGGCAGCAACCACGGATACTCAGTGGAGAGCGACTAACGGTCGTGGCAAGGCAATATGGTCTCATGGTGGGATGGGAAGGGTGGCAATCACCATGGTGGGAAAGGGGGGCCGTACCGGGGCTGGCTCAGAAATAAAGGCAGCCGCTTCAGAAATGGCAGCAGCAGTGGCAGCGAAAGTGGCTCTCTGGGTGGGGGAAGACGCTGCAAGGAACCGACCAGAAGGCGCTCGAATGGCAAAGGTGGGAGTGGAGGAGGAGGAGGAGGAGGTGGTGGGGGAGGTGAAGAGAATGGTGAGGGATTGGTTGAGAGGCAGGGAGGTCGAACGTGCTGCTACCCATGGCGTGGACCAGTCAAGCGCGGAGGAGGAAGAGGAGGGGCGGGAGGAGGTGGCAGTGGGCGGCCCTAGCCATCGCTTGGCTCCCTGGGAGAAGAGCATGACCTGAAGCATGGGAGCGCGGTGGGGTGGGGTGGGGTAGGGTGGAGTGGGGTGGGGTGGGGAAAGAGAGAACAAGGACGGAGTGAGGGGAGGAGGGGTCGTGATCGGAAGGCAATGAAGGGGCGGGGCGTGGGAGGGATTGGCCAAGGGAAACTGATGGGGGGGGTTTCTCACCTTAGCTTATCTTCCCCAGGCGCACCTTGCTGTTGTTCCTCAGGCTAGTAGTCCACCACACAGACGGCATGGTGGCCGCACCAGGGGGGATAACAGGAGGCCGGGAAGAATCACACACCCCGCCCAGCAGAGCCCCGGGTTCAATACCCGACGCCGTCATCACAGACACGTCCTGAGGAGAAGCACTCCCACCACTGCTGCTGCTGCTGCTGTTGGTGTCACCGCTGCTACCGCTGCCGCCACTGCTGTCCCCGCCCGATTTGATCACTCCCGTTTTAACCAGAATACCCACAACGAGCCCTGCAAGAATGGCGAGGGAGAAGAGGCCGAGGAAAACAAAGAGCACGGTGCGACAGGTGGGGCCTTTCCGCCTGGGGCGCGCGGGAGGCAGGAACGGCTCGTGAATGTTCACCAGCGCCTCCTTGTCGCTGGCTCGCCCCGTCACTATGCCGCTGCTGCCACCGCTGCCACCACTGGCACCAGCACCACCACTGGCACCAATACCTCTGTTGCTGTTGCTGTTGCTGTTACGGTTGTTGCTGCTGGCGGCAATGCCTATCGCCGCCCCTGCCGTCGTTGCCACTGCCGCTGATGTTGCCGCGCCAGCGGCAGCAGTTGCTGCCGCAGTGGCAGAAGGTTTTGTACCTGCCTTTGTACGCGAGGTGGTTGCAGGTTGACTAGGTGGCGTGGGAACTCCCTCTGCTGCTGCTGCTGCTGCTGCTGCTGCTGCTGCTGCTGCTGCTGCTGCTGCTGCTGCTGCTGCTGCTGTTCCGCCTCCTGCATCTCCTCCTGCACCTGCAGATGCGGCTGCTGCATCTGCAGCTGCTGCCAGTTCAGTTACTGCTGTCTCTGCAGCAACTCCTGCGCCTGCCGCCCCTCCTACGCCTGCTGCTGCACCCCCTGCTGCTGCTGCTGCTGCTGCTGCTGCTGCTGCTGCTGCTGCTGCTGCTGCTGCTGCTGCTGCTGCTGCTGCTGCTGCTGCTGCTGCTGCTGCTGCTGCTGCTGCTGCTGCTGCTGCTGCTGCTGCTGCTGCTGCTGCTGCTGCTGCTGCTGCTGCATGCGTCCCTTCTTTCACCGCTCCCTCTGTCCCTGCCACATGGACTGGGAAATGACTCTCATCACCTGACACTGCCGCCCCTTCTGCAACCTTTCCTGCTGCTACCGCCGCCGCCGCTGCTGCCTCTCCGCCCAAACCTCTCTCCCCGCCTTCGCCTCCCGCAGCGGAAGCTAGGGAGGCGGACGGCGGAGCTGGAGCGGGTGCGACGGAAGAAGGGGCAGCGGCGGAAGCTCCAGCTGCGGAGACAGCGGCGGAAGCGGTGGCAGAATCTGCGCGTGCGGCGGACGGCTTGCGGTCGAGGGAAGTCTTCTTAGGAGTCGGCTGCTTCGTTAGTGCCGCGCCGCCTCCCCCCGGCTTCGCTGACCCGCCTGCGCTTTCCGCGGGCGGGGCGGGAGAGGCCGAAGGGGGAGCTCCGCCGGTTTCGGCGGAGGGGACGCGGTGAAGCGCCTTGAGAAGGCTGTCGGGGATCTTGGGGGGATCCGCGGAGGCGCGATTTGCGCGACCGGACATGGCGGTGGAAACGGAGACGATATGGGGAGATGGGATACGATACGGATCTCAAAATGTCTCAGTACGATACGATACGACGAGTGTTCCCTATAATGCCGAGATTTCAGGCCACGCTGCTGGCAATGGTCGTCAGGGAGTCTCGACTCTCGAGAATGTGAGGATAATTAGTTACGCGTTGGGGATTTCGGGTGGAGAGAGAAAGCAAGGAGGTGCCGTTCTTCTTGACGGGTGGTTGGACTTGGAGCTCGCGTCGCGGTTATGGAAGTCATCAATAAGGATGATCTGCCTCTCAGTGCATCATTTCGTAGGCCTCGTGTTGGACCAATTTAGGCACCATTTCGAAGGGCGTTTGGCACACACCAGCCTGTGGTATGCTGGCTGCTGGGTGTGGTGTGGTTCAGTTCGGTTCTTGCGGTTAGGCCTACATAACAGGCCCTGAGGAGGCTGCTGGCTTGGTTGGTGAAGCGGGGAGTGCAGATAAACGCAACATCGCCGTTGTAAGGAATTTTATTCCTTACCGGGTTGTACTGCAATCGCGTACACCCGAACTCTCGGCAGACCAGGCTCGGTCCGTTTCTGACGCGGCCCCGAGGCACGCCCGCGCCGCCTCCGACCCTTTCGACCGCGCCTGTACCCAACCTAGCCCTCCGGGCTCATCGCCTAGCTAGAGCACTCGCTATATAATGCTAGGCTATCCTTCTTGTACTCGTCATTATTATTCCGCGCATTCTGAGTTATTATTCATAACATCTGGTATCAGAGCTACTTTCCTGGTTCACCCCGCTTTCTCAGGGTAGTTTATTTCCAAGGCGTGGTTAACCCTGCGGGGCTGCAAAGCGGTTGTCCGTGAGCTAGAGTTATTAGCTCACACAACTACGATAGCGTTTGCGCCCCCTACGGTTTCTTACCACGGCCTTCCCCCTGCCCGAAAGGCGTAGCATTCGCATCATGTCCCAGGCCCAGCTAGACGAGGTCATGGCTCAGATGCAAGCAATGCAAGCCCAGATGGCGAGTTTGAACAGTGAAGTCGTGAGACTTCGGACGGAGAACACCGAGCTTCGCCAGACGCATGGTGAAGCGCGTCAGGAGTCGCCTGGAGTCGCCGAAGACGAGGTCAAGCAAAGTGCCGACGACGCAGCGAGCGAAACCGTCCTTGACGAGCTCGCACGGGAGTTGGAGCAGGACGACGTGCGTACTGTGACCGTAACGAAGATTAAACTCAAGCCAGCAACACCGCCCCCGTTCAACCCTTCGGACAAGGCGACGACGGTGCAAGGGTGGCTGTTCAGCATGGAGCTGTTCTTCATGGCGGCAAGTGTGCACACCGATGATGCGCGCATTAATTATGCCGTGTCGCTGCTCCGAGGACCGGCGTTGGATTGGTGGCGACGACAGTTGGCGATTGGGACTCCGGCAGGAGTGAAGCAGGCGAAGGACTTCGGACTCTTCAAACCAACAGGCAGAAACAATATTCGGTACGACCACGATTCGCACGTGGAAACAGTGGGGCACAGCTCTGCGAGCTCGTTTTGAGCATTTATCCGCCTCAGACGACGCTCGTATGAAGCTGCGCAACTGGCGGCAGGTGACTACTGTTCAAGATTACACTGCGTCGTTCTCGGCACTTGCGGACCAAGTCGACGACCTCAGCGAAGCGGAAAGACGGGACAAATACGTTAGCGGGCTGCATTTCGATATTCAATACGAATTGCAGCGGTCCCGTCCCAAGACGTTCGATGAAGCCGTCCAGCTGGCGTCAGCAGCCGATGCACTGCAGCAGTGGGCGAGAAAGAACAACAGGGATGTTGGTCGTTTTCGTGGACAGTCTCCCCGCCCCACGATCAATGGCGTGTCAGCGCCCGATGAAATATTTCACGGGCTATGTTTTCGATGTGACAAGCCAGGTCACCGAGCTAAGTACTGCCCGACGGCGCCCAAGAAGACGAAGAACGACAAGGAGAAGCCGGGAAATGGGAAAAGTCAGTAGCAGACGGGCCCCCTACTGACGAGGCTTTGTCGCCCGAACTTCAGCGTTCCCACCAAGTTGTGGTACCGATACACGCTATCGACCGCACTCGGACGAATAACGGGAGCGAACCTGAAGATCACCCTGTGCTGGTAGAAGGCAAGGTTAACGGCAAAAAAATAAAGTTATTTGTGGATGGCGGAGCTAGTCACAGTCTCATAGACGTGACAACAGCGAAGCAGTTGAAGCTGACGTTGGAAAAATGTCTTCCCGAAATCGACGCGCGACTGGTGGACGGAACTCCACTTGCAATTAGAGAACGAGCGCGCATGGTGCGGATGAAGTGTGGCGACGACTTCGGATTCAGCATGCCCATGCTGGCCACGACGCTGGACGGCTGCGACATTCTGCTTGGGCGTGATTGGCTGCGAAAATACAATCCGAGGATCGACTGGACAACTGGCGAATGCAGCGTACACTGTGCGAACGGGTGGCGCGTACTTCCAAGCTGGCGTGGGAGAGATCCGGTGTCGACACGTGTCAACGCCATCACCTTCCAGCGAGCGGTTAAAAAAGGAGCTGACTTGTACGCCGTCCACCTGGCCGACGCGACGGTCGACGACACGCCAAAGAACATTGACACACTTTGTGCCAGTGTCCCTGCCGAGCTCGCCGCGCTGATTCGACAGTACTCGGATATTTTTCCGGACGATCTGCCAGCAGGACTGCCACCCGAGCGCCCCCAGGACCACAAAATTGACCTGGAACCCGGCGCGCAGCCTACAGTCAGGACCCAGTGGCGGCTGACTCAGCCGGAGCTCACGGAGTTGCGAAGCCAACTGGACTACCTCTTGGAGAAGGGGTTCATTCGGCCCAGCACCTCCCCGTTCGCAGCACCCATCCTGTTCACGCCCAAAAAAGACGGCGGGCTGCGAATGTGCATCGACTACAGGGCGCTAAATCGACGAACAATCAAGTCCCGCTACCCAATCCCACGCGCGGACGATCTTCTCGATCAACTTCGCGGAGCTCGCTTCTTCTCGAAAATCGACTTACGCGGCGGTTACCATCAGATCCGAGTCTTCGCTGACGACTGCCACAAGACGGCGTTCCGAACCCGCTATGGCAGCTACGAGTACACAGTGATGCCGTTTGGCCTCACGAACGCGCCCTCCACTTTCCAATTCACCATGAACGGCGTATTCCGAGACCTGCTCGACAAGTGTGTCATCGTCTATCTTGATGACATTCTGATCTACAGCAAGACACAGGAACAGCACCTCAAGGACCTTGAGCAAGTTTTCCGGCGGCTGCAAGAAAACCGGCTCATCACGAAGGGCTCCAAGTGCGAGTTCCTAAAATCCGAACTGGTATTTTTGGGACATGTCGTGGGAGCGGACGGCATAAAAATCGACCCGAAAAAAATCACAGCGATTCGCGACTGGAAGCCGCCGACGAATTTACAGGAGTTGCAGAGTTTTCTCGGGTTCGTTAATTATGTCCGGAGGTTTATCCCCAATATGGCAGGGATAACCGGACCGTTAACTGACCTGCTGCGGAAGGGCACTTTGTTTGAATGGGGGGAGAGACAGCAGACTGCTTTCGATGAACTGCGAAATTCGCTGACGTCGCCCCCGGTCCTCCGAATCGCCGACCCATCTCGACCATTCGAAGTCTTGACGGACGCTAGCGATTTCGCCATCGGTGCGATACTGTTACAAGATTTCGGCGACGGACTCCAACCCATCGCGTATGAGTCTCGGAAGTTGCAGGCAGCCGAGCGCAACTACCCCGTCCACGACAAAGAAATGCTCGCCATCGTGCACGCATTCAAGGTGTGGCGATGCTACTTGACGGGAGCCGACGTGACAGTACGGACAGACCATAAATCCCTACAGTACCTCCGCGCGCAGCCGAATCTAAATCCACGGCAGATTCGCTGGCTGGACTTCCTCGAAAGCAACTTGCACTACACCATCACGTACAAACGGGGAGCGAATAACATCGCTGACGCACTAACAAGACCATCCGCCCACCTCGCCTCAATCATCGTCGCAAAATCCAACCCGCTGCTCACTGGCCTATTTACCCACGGCTATACCACAGACCCCTTTTTCACTCGCAACCACCACCAACAAGCCACCACAGCCAAAGGACCCTACTTTCTAAAAGCCGGTACTGACCGCATGTGGGTTCCCACCTACAAACTCCTCCGCGAATTACTTATTCAAGAAGTCCACGATTCTAACCTCTCCGGTCATTTTGGGGTTGATAAAACCCAGAAGTTACTTCACCGTTTTTATTATTGGCCTGATTCGGCGCCTGATGTGCAGAGATACGTATCCGCATGCCCGATCTGCCAACGAATGAAGTCTTCCCGACGGCGGCCAGCTGGACTGCTGCAACCGCTCGAGCCACCCCAGCGACCATGGCAACATGCGACGATGGACTTTGTCACGGGGCTCCCAGCCGCCGCCACGAGCAACGACGCCGTCCTGGTCGTCGTCGATCGTCTGACGAAGATGGCACACTTCGCACCCTGTCGCACAACAATCACAGCCGAAGATACAGCGAAGCTTTTCATCTCCACCGTTGTTCGCCTGCACGGCATACCCTCAGCGATCATCAGCGACCGCGACCCAAAATTCACGTCCAAGTTCTGGCAGGAGACATGGGGGCAGTACGGCACACGCCTCCAGTTTTCCTCCGCCTACCATCCTCAAACCGACGGACAGACAGAGCGAACCAATCAAACTATGGAGCAGCTGATACGCACCAACTGCCCGGATCCTGCCCGATGGGAAGAATTCCTGCCAATGCTGGAATTTTCGTACAACAATGCCCCATCCGCCACGACTAATCACTCGCCGTTTTTTCTAAACTACGGCATGGATCCGACAGTCCCGACGACTACCAACATCGACAACCCAGTGCCACGTTCCCAGCAGTTCGTGAACAGTTTGCAGGCGGCCCGCGAAAAAGCGATCGAATTCATTCGCAAGTCCAACACAACCGCCCGCCGCTACACAGATCTTCATCGTCGCGATATCACCATGGCTGCAGGGCAACTAGTCCTTCTCGACACAAAGAACCTTCGCCTGCCCCTGCCTTCAAAACTTCGCCCGCGATTCTGTGGACCTTTTCGTATTGTCAAGATGGTGACACCTGTCACAGCGAAATTATTACTTCCGGACGAGTGGCGCATTCACGACGCGTTCCACGTAAGCCTGCTTCGTCCCTACGTCGCCAGCACGTCTGCAGTCGCACGCCCAGCGGCCGCCCCAAGTGTCCGCCCGATGGCTGAACCGACACTTGAGCCTTTCTGGCTT